GGGCTGGGGATTCGAACCCGCCACCTTAGGTGTATGTGGCTGGCACCTTAGCCGCTTGAGCCACAGGCGCCAAGCCGAGTTCTTTATAGATCCCGGTTACCAGCCTTTTATCAGATATATACTTGTGAATGCTTTCTTCTATCCTGCAGGTTGTCTCTTTGCTCTATTGATTGTTTCCTTGGCTGTGCAGAAGCTTTTTAATTTAATCAAGTCCCATTTATTTATTGTTGTTATTGTTGTGATTGATTTTGCATTCTTAGACATAAATTCTTTGCCTAGGCTGATATGTAGAATAGTTTTTCCAACACTTTCTTTTAGAATTCTTATGGTTTTGTATCTTAGATATAAGTCTTTTATCCTTCTTGAATTAACTCTGTGGGTGGTGAGAGGTGTGGATCCTGTTTCAGTCTTCCACACGTGGCTATCCAATGTTCCTAGCTCCATTTATTGAACAGGGATTCTTTTCCCCATGTATACTGTTGTTTTCTTTGTTAAAGATCAGATAGAAAAGAGCCCACATAGCCAAAGCAATCTTAAGCAAAAGGACCAAATCTGGAGGCATCACATTACCAGAATTTTAACTATACTACAAGCCTATAGTAACCAAAACAGCATCGTACTGGCACAAAAACGGAGACATAGACCAAAGGAATAAAACAAAGAATCCTGATATGAAACCATCCAAATTTGCACTGAGCATTTTTAAGGTTGCAGCTGGGCATCAGCAGGGCCTATGGCAGCTACTGCATGGAGTGTTCACATAGGAACTGCTGCCTTCCTGCTGGGGGGTGGCCACGGCCTGGAGTCCCTCTATGCCCCCATCTCCTAGATGCCCAGTCACCTTACAACTGAAGAAGTAAAGCTGGGGCCTGACAGGACAGTCTGTGTCCTTCTGATGGGGCAGCATCCACACAGTGACTGACTTCTAACAGCAACCCTGCTGGCAGTCTCTGTCCTTCTTCTCTGTGAGCAGACACCCCAGGGACCAAAAGTGTCATCTCTTCCATTCCCAGGGTTTCTTCCTCTTTCTGGAGAGCACAGCACTTTGGGTGAAGTCTGGCTGCTGCACCCTAACACCTGCCAGCCTGGGGCCACCTTCCTCACCTGTCTCTATACCCCTGGCCAGAGGAAGAGAGAGTGTAGGACAATCACTGGACACCTAGCTGCTGTCTCCTTTCACTCCACAGCTCTCTCACAACAGGTTTGGCGCCACAGATCTTCAGGTCACCTACCTGGAGCAGCTGGCATCTATGCAGGCCTGCCTGGCACCAGCTCCCAGGGGCTTCCACCACAGGTGGGCCTCCGAGGGTGAGCTGGGCCCTCCACCTGCTGTGGTGCTCACAGGCTGCAGAGGTCTGGATCATGCTCTTTTCCTGGCCTCTGCAACCCTTCTCAGGCTGGGCCTGGCTCCTCTTTCTGGCCTCTACCTCCTTGGACCCCACATCCAGCCATCCCCAGAGAGGCCCTTCTGACCTCCCCAGGTAGAATGAAGTCCTTCCACAGTCCATATTCATTGCCCTTGCAGCCTGTCTCGCTGTGCGGTAGCTGCATCTCAGGTGTTCATCACTGAAGCTGGGCTGGAGCACCTCAAGGACGTGAATGTGCGTCCTGTCCATCCATCTGCCCAGCACCTGACCACACACCAGAATCAAGGTCAGTGCCAGGACTGAATGAACATCTCCTTCTCTATCCTTATGAAGGACTGTGGCTAAAATGTAAAGCATCAGAGCCTCTCAGCAGAGCACAGAGGGGCTTCCATGACACCCAGCCCCCAAAGGGAGGGGAAGAGTCTGGGGTGTGATCTGACTGAGAACAGAGCCCTCTCATTCCTGTGTGGGATTGTGTTCTTTGTGTGCTTTACTCCTTCCAATGAGAGCTCCAGGAGGGGGAAGCTAAGGGCAGGATTCAGAAGATCTGGTTTCCTGATTCTAAAACCATCTCAACACCATCGAGACTGGGCCTTGAGCCCCTTGCATTGCTGCTGTGAAACCCAGCCATGGGTGACAGCACGGCAGATAAGCAGCCCCTCTCCCCCTCTTGCTGGCTGGTTCTTTCCCTTGGTTGACTACACCAAGCTCCCCACCACTGGCTCAGGGGCTGAGCACTAGTGGTCTACACAATGGATTCTGCATTTAGGCAGACCTCAGTGACAATTCCAGCAATGCCACCTACTAGCTGTGTGATCTTGGGCAAATTGTTCAAACTCTGTTTCCTCATTCATGAACTAGAGATGACATCAATAACTAAGTACTGTAAGGCTTGGCACCTGTGGCTCAAGTGGCTAAGGTGCCAGCCACATACACCTAAGGTGGGGGGTTCGAATCCAGCCCAGGCCCACCAAAACAACAATGATGGCTAAAACAAACAAAAAAAAATAATAACTAAGTACTGTAGACTAAATTGTGTCACTTCTGAAATTTGTATGTTGAAGCCCTAACCCCCAAAGTGATGGTGTCTGGGAGGCAACTAGGGCTAAAAGGCAGTTGGGGGCAGTGCTCATGGTGTGATTAGTGTCCTGATCAAAGATGCTACAAGTCACTCTCTCTCTGTCTGCCTCTCCCTTTCACTCTCCCCCTCTGCTGTGTGTGGACACAGTGAGAAGGACACCATCTGTGAGCCAGAAAGAGGGTCTGTGGCAGATACAGAATCCACAGGCACTTTGATTTTGGACTTCAGTCTTCAGAAGTGTGGGAGCATAAATGCCTATTGTTGAGACCCCCCAGTTGTGGTCCCCACGATGACAGCCTGACTCTTCAGTAGCTCTGTGAGCATGGGATGTGCCTGGCACAAAGGGTTTTACAGCAGAGCTGACCAGCTGGCAATCACAGTCTCTGCTCTTGTCTAGGGGCAGAGAGCAGAGGCCAGGATCCAGTCTCAGCCTTGCTCTCAGCTCCTTTGAAGGGTGTGTAATAAGCCATGGTTCCACAGCTTGAGGACACCAGGCTGAAAGTGCCTTGTGTGATGGCAATGACCAAACACTTGCTGGGCACACTGGTCCCAAAAGTGCATCCACAATACCCCAAACAAGAAGTCCTGCAGTGTAAAGCTGGCTGACACAGGAAGGGTCTGATTAAAAACACCTGAAAATGTGCCTGATGGCCAGGAACACAGCAGCCTGCCTAACCCCACGCTGGCTCCACTTGCCATGTGACTGTGGACAAGGCAGTGAATAGTGTGCCTCAGTTTCCTTGTCTGTAAAATGGGGCAATGATGAGCTATACCTCAAAGGGTCAGGATGAGGATGCACTCAGCTACTCGACACATCAGCACTGCTCGGAAGAAGGATGTACCCCATGCGTGCCCCTTTCACTTGTGCTCTTACTGACGCTGTCCCGGGAGTGTAATCCTCATGCAGAAGTTGTGAGGGCTGCCCTGCTGTTTAGGACTTCTCCCTGCCTCTCCTTCTGACATCTATCGAAATCCTACCCATCCTTCATGGCTCAGTTCAAATGCCACCTCCTCCAGGTTGCCTTCCCTGGTTTCCCAACATTGGACACATGGAAGGCGCACAACAAATGTCTGCTAAGTGAGTGACAGCTCTGCACCTTCCACAGGCTCCCAGTTGGTGCCTGTGCCGCCTCCTTCCAGTCCAGGCTCAAGCCTCACACATCTCTGCACTCTGCAACCACGAGTGCAAAGCTTCAGCCCCTGTCAGCTGCATGTTCTGTTGAGCTTCAACTCCCTGTTCCCTTTCAGAGACCAATATGGACAAGTCAGTCCCCATCGCAGGATGATAGTACAATGCTGTCAAAGATTGCTGCAGGTGCCTGTTCACGCCATCTAGGCCCCCTGGTTTTCAAGCTGCTTTTAGTATCAGAACCATATATTCAAATGAACTTACTTAGAATCCCAAAATGTCAAAGAGTTAACTGATTTTTTCAAAACAGAGCTGTCCTGCCACAAATGGAGCCCTGATCCCTGAGTCACCTCTGCAAACTCCCAGGGCCTGGGAACCCTTGAGACCCACCAGCCCAGGCTCCTACGCATTTTGCACATAGGATCGCCAGGTCCCCAAACAAGAAAAAGCCTGGGAACACCCAGAGCTGTCCACAGCTGGCTTCCGTTTGCCCTGGGTTTCCCCCAAACACAGCCTCACTCCAAGCACCTGACCCTGTCTGAGTCTCCCCAGATGACTCCTGCAACTCTGGCTGCTGGCCACCTCTCCACCTTCCAGATGTGGCTCAGGCATCACCTCCTCCAGGAAGTCCTCCCTTCCACCTCCATCCCGCCTGTGGGTACACGGTGGAAGGCAGATCTACAAGAGCCAGCGCACCAGGAGCAGGGCAGCACCTGGTCACCTAGGTAGGGGAGACCAGCCTTCACTTGCCAACCAGCAGCAAAGGGGGAAGAGGGCAATTGCACCTGGATCTGATTTCACATGAAAACGAAAGTCAAAGATGAGTCTTATCCAGCAGATACCTGAGTGGCCCCTATTATGATTAAAGGTGACCAGAAAGAACGAGTCCAGAAAACACAGGAGTTTCCGGCATAAAGCCCTTCCCGCTGCTTTCTTTCCCAGGCATTAGGGTCCCTCCCTTCTGCCTCAAGGAGTTGCCACCTCCCACACTGCCACTGTCTGCGGTTTCAGGGTCCCCTGCCGAGTCTTCAGCGCGCGCGTCTGGACGCCCAGCCTGCAGAGAGCGGAGAGCCGGGCAGCGGGCGGGGCGCCGGGCTGTACGCGTGGCCGCAGCGCCCTCTGCCGGGAGGACCTGAGCACTCACCGGGGCGGGCGCGTTGACCACTGAGAGGTTGTAGCCGTAGAGGAAAGAGGAGCCAAAGGCGCCCACTAAGGAAGCCACGAGCAGCGAGCAGGACCAGTCCTGGAGAGGAAGGAGAGAGTACGTCAGCGCTGGCACTCGGAGCGTCCCCTTGGCTGGGGAGGCCTTCCCCGCCCGGGGAGAATTTTCTGCCGGAGGGAGATGGAGAGAAAAGTGGCTGTTGGGGCCTGGCAGGTGGGGTTCCTGCCCAGGTCTGCGGGTACTGGAGGGCGCCCAGGGGTCCGCAGCCACACCCTCACCTTTCTCCCCCGGCATCTTCAGCAGGTGCTGTAAGCAGCCCCACACTCCCATTTTAGCTGAATTTGGCCAGTGTTTGACCCAGATAGGAGCAAAAGGCAAAGCCAGACTCAGTTGCCGGAGATGGCAGCAGAGGCTGCATCTGACACTTGCTAAGCACCAAGCGCCTCTGACCACCTCCTGTGCCTTATTTCTTGGAGTCCTGTTAGTCCTCTTTCACAGGTGAGGAAGGCAGGACACAGAGCTGTGGCAGGCAGCCCCAGGCCTGGCGGCAGCACCCTCAAACTCTCTACTACACCACACTGCCTTTTCCCCACTGGAGCTGCACCTGGGTGCCATGCCTGGGGACCTGAGCCGGCTGCCAGCTTACATACGCACTCACAGGCACACGCTGTGCTGGGCTGAGGTGCCAATCTGCAGGATGGCCCAAGCCTCAGGACAAGGACTGAGAGGTTCAAGCCTGGCATGGAGCACAAGGCATCCGTCTCCACAGTCCTGTCCCACAGCCCCATCCAAAGGGTGGTCACTGCAGGGCAGGGCCCCTGGGCACAGGCTGACCAGCCGACATAAGCCAGGAGCAGCAGTGGCCAGTGTCCTAGTCTAGCCAGGAGAAAGAGGGCTGCATACAGGGGACCAGGGCTCTGGAAGGTGCTTTCTCTGCCACCATTTCACTATTTGTGGATGTGTGTGTATTCTGGGTGCCAGGACCTGCTGAAGTCTTACTCTTCTGGTTTCTCTTCACTCCCTTCTGATCCAGCTGTGCCCAGGCAAACATACTGAGTCTCTCTACTGCACCCACTTGCCATATGCTCCTTTATAGAGATGTTTTTCTTTCTAAGACCTATTAGTGACACCTCCTCCTCTGAAGAGCTCCCTGAAGGCTCCACCTTCTCATTTTACGTTTCTCTCTTTGATTCAACCTTGTCTGACCCACAGCCCTGGCACTTACACTTTGTAACCTTTACCAGTTATGTCTCCACTTTGTGACTCAACTTTTTCACCTTTAAAATGGGGATAATAATAGACCCCACCTCATAGGTGGTTAAACTCAAGAAATGAGTTACAGCAGGCAGGGCCCTCAGAAGGGAGCCCAGCCCATGGTGGAGCTGAGTGTCCGCGGCTGAGGCCAGGCAGTGGCTCTGAGCCTACAGCAGAGAATGTGTTCAGGAGGGTCCAGTGGCGAGAGCAACGGTTCCTATGTCATGTGGCTGGAAGTGTGGGACCAGTATTTTTCTACAGTAAGAGGAGCTGGAGCAGAATGGGATGGAATCACATTTCATTCAAAACACCCATTCTCCTTCACTTTTTTATTTTAAACTCCCCCTATGGGTCTCAGCTGTGATGTCACTTCTGAGCCACTGGGCATCCCATCTGGACCCCCAGTGTTCCTCACTCCCAGTTCCTATCACCACAGAGGCCGTGGACTTTCTCCTGCCTGCACCTCACCAGACCAGAGCTCCCTGTTTGAGGGGGCCTCCAGCCACAGACCTGTTCCCTGGAGCCTCCTGCTTATGGCCCCCACTGCCTCCCTGTCGGCCCCAGGACAGAGGGTTCCCGCTGACAGTGCTGCTGCCTGTTCTGTGCCCTGGGGAGGAAATGAAGAGGGACCCCACTAAGAGAGTGTGGGGGCTGTTCCACATGCAAAGCCAGGAGAGCCGGGCACCATGCCAAGTCAGGCCCAGGGCCTCAGCCCCACAGCGGCCAGCCTGCCGCCCAGCCTGGACTCCCCACAGCCCGCCGGCCACACAGAAGCAGGCTTCCACGTTTACCTTTCTTCTCCTCCCACCCGGCTTCCCGCTCCGTGGGCCGTGACACACAGGCGACGCCCTTCCTGGCCCCGGCAGCCCTGGGCAGCTGGTGACATGGGTGAGGGGAGCTAAGCTCAGTTCCCTGGGGTCCATGTTTCCTTCTCTAGCCTCACTCACGCTCAGCCCAGGGGTGCCAGGCTCTGCCAGGACATCCCTGTGAATGAGGAGGCAGAGTCCACAGGCAAGGGCGAGGGCGTCCAGACAGGAAATGTGGAGACCTGATCCTGCCTGAGCAGGAAATGGGGCAACTTTTCTTTTCCCTTCTAGGAAGTCATAACGGTGACGGAAGAGCCCTTAAAGGGAAACCACCTCCAGGGGGTGCATTTGTTCTCTGGCATCTTCTTATTTTTTCTTAACAAGTCCGGCAGTACTGGAGAAATGACTGGCGTGCACCCAGTCTCTAGTGATTGGGACAAACGAGAAGTGGCTGACTTTGCTGCCATGCCCGACTCCCTCGTTTGTTAACTGTGTGTTTTTAGGCAAGTCACTTTACTGCTTTTGCCAATGCAAAGTGGGCTGCTGGTTTGCAGAGTAGGAGCCCTATACCCTAGAGCAAATGCAGAGGTTTGGAAGAAAGTGAAATCACCTCTGGGTCCTTGCTCTGTCCTGTTCATCCAGCACTGGCTGAGGGGATATGCCCCATGTGCCAGCCCTGAGCTCAGGGAGAGCATCAAGAAGACAAGGACCTCACGCACACCAAGACATCATAAATAGCTCGCGGCATGGCTGCTTTGTCCCAGATGTCAGAGACACTCCTTTACTCATGACTAGGACCGCTGCCTGGGCCAGTCGTTCTCAGAAGCAGAGGGCAGACTGCAAGGCTGAGCAGTGGACAAAGACAACATGGTGAGTTCAGAATGCCCAGGAGACAGGGCAGGGCCCAAGGCCACAAAAAGGAGAGAGAGAAGAGTGGGCTTGATAGAGAGCTCCCATTAAAGTGAAAGGTGTGGAGTACTGCAGTGTGGGGAGCCTGAAGACACCCAGCCCGGGCAGCGGGAAAATGGCTGCTCCAAGCAAACAGTGGACTAAAATTTCCAAAAAAGAAAAGTAACCCCTGGTGGCCAGGCCAGGGATGGGCGAGCACAGGAATCATCAGGGCAATGTCATTCTGTGCGGTAATCAGCCGGGATACCCCAGGGAGCACTGGCTGTTTCTGGTGTTGGTTTCAGCTGCATAGACTGCTCTCTTCACAGAGCCACAGGTCCCCAGCAGGCTCCTGACAGTCAGACCCTTGCTGACATGGCCTCAAAGGTGTGGGTTCCTGGGACAGCATGGAGGAGGCTCCACACCCATCTCCGCAAGTCCCCGGGACTTCTGGAGGAGCTGGCTCCTGGAAAGATGCTTACAGGGTGGACAGGCCCAGGGAGCACACAGGCTCAGGAGGGCATGGTGCGGGAGGGGTGCTGAGGCAGCAGGCTCCCCCCTGGTGTGTGTGATCAGAGCATGCAGGCAGAGCAGGAGGGGCCAGAACAGCCACGTCCCTGAGCTCTGAGGAGCCTCTCCCCATCCCCCCATCCTCGCAAGGCCATTATCATCTTCAGCTCATGTCCACCTTCTCCTCACCCTCCCTGGCTTCATTTGTAACTGGGTCTCACCAGATTTTGCCAAAAACTCAAATTAGATCAGGTGGCCTCTCCCCCTACTTAAAATCATACCAAGGTCCCCTTTGGGACCAAAACCTTAGAAGGCACCAAGGGCCAGGCAGTCAGCATGAGTGAGGAGCTGCATCTAGGCATGGAGTAGGCTAGAGGGTAGCCTGTCTCTCTCTGGGCCAGCTGGCAGCTCACCAGTATGCCCATCAGCAGCATACCCTCCTTGCCCTCAGCCCGTGTTACACGTCTACACTGCTCTCCCACATAAGTTCACATCCACGAGATTGTCTAGTCCTATCAGCCTCACAGGAGCTACTAGTCCTACCCGTCCAGGGAGGAACTGACGTGCAGGGAGGGTGTGGAGTAGCCACCTCTGAACCACATGGTCAGGGCCTGTGCCCTCAGCAGCTTGCTAAGAAACCCACTCCTGTCAAGGATGTGGTCACACAACACACGTTCCTGGGTGTCTGGGGCTGGGCCTACTCGACCACCAGCTTATCCATCTGCTCACTAACACCTCGGCAGCTCCTGCACACCGGGGTCTCCTGGTTGGCTCAGGCCCTTCCTGCTGACTCCCTGGAACTCTACTCAACCATTCAGTGCCTGCCTCCTCGCCACCACCTCCCTGCAGCCTCCCTGTGTGCTGTCACCCTGCCTCTGTGCTCCACATGCTGCTGCGCAGGTGACCTTACCCCCAGCACAGGAGCCTGCCACGGACAGGACCGTGTGTCTTAGGGGCTGACTGGTGTCCCCTCCAAATTCGTGTGTTGGAGTCTGACCCCTAGCACCTTAGAATGTGACTGTTTGTGGAGACAGGGTTTTTGTAGAAGAGATTAGGACACAGACACGCACAGAGAAATAACACAGGGAGAACGTGACCACGGAAAGGAGTCCTCACCACCCCTGCTGACTCTGGATCCAGAACTGTGGGATAATCAGTTTTCACTGTGGAAGTCACCCAGCCTCTGACCCTTTGTCAGGGTAGCCCTAGCAAACTCATGTGCCCTAAGGCCTTCCTACAGCATGGCGCAGGGGAGGGGTCCAGTTCCAGACACACTGTCCTCTAGATGATTGACTAAGGCTAAAAGTGCAGCTTGGACCAGGTGGAAACTTTCTAATAGGGAAGATGTACAAGGAGGGAATTTGTCTGTTGAATGCCATTTAAGCAAATGTTTGAAAATGACTACATCCCTCCCCTCGTTATACAAGATACCTAGATCCTTGACTCACCTAAGTACCAGGAAAAGCTACGAGGTCCTCCTAGAGGGGCATTGCTGTCTGTTTGATGTGATTCTTCCATGCCCCTAGCTGACCTAAAGCAGGTGGCTTCACCTCCCTGAACGGCCGCACACACCCATGGGGGCGATGATGCCCAGCTTGCCCATTTCCACTTCCCTGGCGATTTGGTTAAGTGAATTTTTTGTCCTGCCAAATGCAGGTTTGTTACAGCATGAACACATTTTCCTCCTGTGTCCTGGTTGTCTCCACATGCATCCCAGGAGACGTGGCAGAGGTGGGCCAAGTTTGAGACCCGCTGTACATGGTGTCAGCTATGTAACCCTGGGCAAATGACCTCTGCCTTCTCTCATCTGTAACATGGAGGTAGTGATGCCTTCAGGACAGCGTAACCAAGAGAACCAGGCAAGACCCCCTGGGGGACGGGCTGGGCACTAAGCCTGGTGGCAGAGTGGGAGATGGGTTTCCATGTGGCCTCAGGATGATGACATGCTCATTGTCAATGTCAATGTCCCCCATGGAGAAATGACTTTCGGGATAGAGACACCTCCCTACTCCAAGTACAAAAACTCCCCAGCAGGTCAGTGACATCAGCCTCACCGTCTCCTGGGCCTCGTTCCTCACACGCTGCAGGTCACACAGCTCTTTCTGGTACAAACTTCCACCCAGCTGCTGCTCTCTTTCCCCTGCCCCCTTCCCTTTGAGGAGGAGAAGAGAGACTGTCCCAAGATCACCAGAATCTCATACGAGAGAAAAGAAAAGAACCCCAGACTGACCGATTTCTTTCTCACTGGATCTCTTTCTTTATCTTCTGCTGGGTCCTTTTCACTGAGCTTCATGGTTTATTTTTCAGATTTTTGGACTTTTGTTGTTCCTGAGAAAGAGAAAAGAGGAAGAAGCCACTGGAAACTTCCTGTCCTAGATGGGGAGGTCAGAGGAGGTGCCCCCAAACAGCCTTCACGAGCTTTGCTGTGATGAGGGGACGCAGCAGTACCCTCACTCAGCCCCCAGCTGCTCTGGAGACCAGGCTCCGCCTGCCCTTCTCAGGCCTCAGTTTCTCCATGTTCAAGATGGGGTGGTGGACGGCATCTGTGCTTCTTACACTGGCCTCCATGCTTACTAAGTACGGGCCACTCCACCCAGTATTCTCATCCATGGTTATTCTTATGTTGAGACACATTTTGGAAACATTAAACTGTTTCCAAGTGTGAAAATACAATCAGCACAAATGAAAAGGAAGTGCCAACCTCACCTGTCAAGTTGGACACAGTTACCAAAGCTGTATCCTGAATCACTGGCACGACCCAAGTGGAAAATCACACAGCAACTACTCCATTTATAAAAATTTATCCTAAGCAGTAATAAAAATGTAAACAAAAAATTAAAGTCTAAGATGTTCATTGTAGCAGTTTTCATGTCAGAAAAGTGGAATTTACAATAGGACAAAATAGCAAGCAAATTTGAATATATTATGGTACATCCATATGATGGAAACTTTTGTAACCTGTAAAAATTATGGTCTATGAGAACATTTGGTTATGGGGGAAATGCTCATAATAAATTCTTATTTGACAAAAAAAGGAAGATGTATGAATGAATAAACATTATTCAATATTGAAAATATAGGCTTGGCGCCTATAGCTCAACCGGCTAAGGCGCCAGCCACGTACACCTAATGTGGCGGGTTCGAATCCCCAGCCGGGACCCGCCAAACAACAATGACG